CACACACGTTTTTTTATACTTATTTTAAATCGTCTGTAGAATTGTCACAATAATTCTTCAATCTACTAGAAGTGCCATTCATCAGGACAATTCATTGTTTATTAAATGTAATGTTGTGTTAATTAGCATGCATTAAGAAAGTATGAATTATTAACTTTATGAAGGGAATAGCCACACAATATTACGGTCTGGTGATATTTTTCTTCACTTGTAAGTGAGAAGTCTTAGGTCGAATCTTGTGAATGGTGAATTCGATACCAAATTAAATTATCTATTGTGTGGCTTAGCCGAACTTCCCCTCCCCTTAATGTAAAAATATATCGTTGTACCAAAAAAAAAAAAAAACAAACTTTATGAAAGGAATATAAATTATATAATGTTGGTTAAAAGAGAGTTTTTATTTTTATTTTTATTTATGGGTTAAAAGAGAAATGCAAATGTGTTTCTCCAAAACTAATAAAAAGCATAAAGAAATCATGTTTTAGGTCATCTTTGTTGACCTTGTTCCTCTAATATTATTCCATAAATTCAGAAGTTTTTTGCATGAGCTTGAAGTCAAGCCGTCTTTCACAAAAAATAAAAAGGAATCACCAAATAATTTCCGCATATCATTTTCCTTCCTCTTCAATTCGTACCTATGTTTATTTATAAGTTTTAGATTGAATAAATACAAAAATAAAATAAATAAAATAAACAAAGGTAAAAGAGAAAATGTCACGAAAATCATTTTTCAATAAATATAAAGAGCAAGAAAAAAAAATCCAAACTTGAAACGGCACATACCATTAAAGAAAATAAATATCAATAAATTAAGAGTTTATTGACAGTGTTAGATAGCTAAGAGCAGTTGCACCGGGGAACCTTTAGGCCGGCACCTAGCCAAATTATTGGCCTGGCACCCAGCCAATCCACTCCAGCTGAGCAGATAGGCTGGCACCTAGCCCAAGCTGGTCTCTAGGCCAGCTTAGAATGTGCTGAGCCCTTGCCTGGCCTACATGACGCCAGGCGATACCGTCACACCTCCCTCGACCCGAATTTGACTCCCTGGGTGTGGAGCACCTCCTTGGCAAGCTTCGGCGAGGAGACGACGACGAGGTTGCGTTGCCCTATGCGGAGGAGGAAGCAGTCGCCGAATTTCTTGGCAAGGTTGGTGAGAGGTTGTTTGTAAAGCAAAACCACCCCAGTAAACTCCAATTGAAACTGAGCTTCAATCGAGAAGCTATCTTCTTCTAGCTGTGGACCTTCGTAACTCCCACAAACTTACCTTCGTAACTCAACTTTGGAGCTTCAATCAAAATGGAGAGGTGTTTCAGTTATGGGTTGCATCGTTTCAGAATGTGGGTTGGGTTCCAAAGGGAAGAAAAAGAAGCAGGGAGTCCAAAGAGAAGAAGAAGAAAGGAAGAAGAAGAAGAATTGGTGAAACTGTGCTTAATTGCACAGTTGGAAAATCAAGGAAGAAAGTGGGAAAAGTGGGAAGAAGAAGAAGAAGGGAGTCCAAAGAGAAGAAGAAGAAGGGAAGAAGAAGTCAGAAATTTAAAATTAAATTATTATTTTATAATAAAAATAATAATATTTTAATAAAATGGACTAGGCTATTTTTTTTAGGGGTGGAGATGCTTTGGCCTATTACTGTTCACTGTGATTTATTACTGTTCACTTGAGTGGATAAATGCGCTGGGTGCTAGTGCAAAGTCTTTAGGGGTGGAACTGCTCTAAGGAGCAACGGTCCGTTAGGTTAAGATTTTCATATTCTTTGAGTTTTTGGGCTTCCAAAAGAATGGACTGTTTTTCAAAGCCACCAACTCATCTCATTTTTAAAGAAATCACATAATTAATTGTCTTTTCGGCCCCGAAAAAATAATATCTTGTAACCAAACATAAAAAAAAAAAAAAAAAAAAATCACGTAATTAATAGCATATTTTATATTGTGCCTAAGTCAACTTCTTGTTGAACCTGTCTGGGCTCCTACCTCTCAATATTATTTAAAATTATGCATAATTGAAGGTTGCCCTACTTAATTTGGTTTCATTGGTGAAACGAATATATTTAATCTATTGGGGTGCTTATATGAAGTAAGGTCAACATATCAAATAGGTGTTTAGAAAACTTGAACAACTTATCGTATACGTATGCTTACTAAGTATGTTTGTGTCAACTTTTATCATAAAATGCCATATCTCATAGGCTTTTTGATCGATGATTCAATGTTAATCTAACTTACGTAACTTCCACTTGCATGTTGGTGTAGTTAATTAATAAATTAATAATCATGTTCCCGGTCTAGTAATTGAGGGAGGCATCACATATCACAAATTGCACAAACGTGTCCCTTTGTAGTAGATTCATTGTTAGGCTAAATACGACTTTACACTATAAGTTTGGAGTGATTTTTAAAATATGTTGCAAAGTTTGAATTTTCTCACATCACATCACGCTACGAGATTTTAATTTTTATTAATTTATAGTTTTTGTCTATTTGACTATATGATCTATTATTAAATTGATGACGTGACAAATATGTGATCCACTTATGAGTTGATGTAAAAGTCACAATTACAACACATGGATGAAAACTAGTAATCTGATCTCCTTTCGAGTATAACTTTTATGTAACAAGAATGGTCAATTCGTTGCTAGCTCAAGTCAGTTACAGACAACCTTGTGAAAAATTTAAAGGAATGACAATGCATGATTAATTTAGAATACCACCATTATATATCTTAGATCTAGAAAAGTTTCTAGACTCTCATGTCCTTCTTCGAAATAGTATCCCGAACTCTTTTAAAGTTTACGCATGTACTTGCATTTCACTTCATCTACACTGCTACAATAAGAATGGTTATCGACATAGCAGGATTGGTGTCAACATCGTTGCCGTTGTCCCTCTCCCTCTCTTTCCTCCTTTCTTTTCTCCCCATCTAGACCAACCCAGGCCGTGAGATTTTAGTAAATACTCATTAATGTATTATTATATCGTTCTCTGGATAATTAATAATCAACAATAAGCTAAAGATTTCAAGAGAATAAAGAGCAATAAAACCTGATTGACGAATATAATAAAATCAATAGCACCAATTGGTTCTCTTCTGTTCTTCTTATAATCTACATCACAATATGGAATATTAGAATCATCCAGTGTTTGTTTAATAAATTATTGAAAACAAAATATAAATTCATAGTTTCGGTTCCCTCAAATTACAATCTTCAAGATCATGTGAGAGTTGATTTACATATTCAATAGAATTAGAAAGATTGAGAATTTGAAAGAAAAAGAGGATTGCAAATGGACTTAGGTTTTACAACTTTATATGTTGAAGAAGAAGGTAAAATATGTCCAAAAATTATTATTATTATTATAATATTAAATTTATTCATTGAATGGAAATTAGAAGTTAAGCATTTTGGTAGAAAGATGCGTCTATTCAAATGAAGAGTTGGAATTTTTTACTCTTCTTGAATAGTCACATGCTTCCAAAAAAGGTATCTCAAATTCTACATTAGGGAAGCCCCTATAATCAATTGATAATTTTTTTTATTAGTTACATAATTATACATAGAATGCACTAAATATTAGAGTCTCATTGAGTCCATATAAGAGAGTATTTAACACAATTGTGGTTTATTGGAGCCTTGTAGTTTGGAGTGCTACTATTACAAGGATGTGATCATTGTATCTTGGGAGACGAGCGCCAGTCAACCATACGCACCGTAGTGGGGCGTTAACTTGTCTTAAGGACAAAGTGTCCAACACTTGCTTCGACTGTATTTTCAAGTTTTTCTAATTCATTATGTCATTTTCATTTAACATTGGTTACTTATGTGTATGCATTACTTTGATATATCATTGCATGAATTATTTCTAATTTTCTATGTAATTTAATACAGCAATTAGATCCTAATTTTTCGAACCAAATTTAATATGTGTTTTTTTTTGTCTGACCCTTTCTATGATTTCTTGTTTTTGTTTTTGTTACTTGTTACTGAAAGTGAATTTGAAAAGCAAAATTAAAAATAAAAAAAAAACATTTGGACTAGTACGATGGCTTGTTTGTAATCAATTGTTGGATGGGGCCATTAATTTTATATGGAGTAAATTTTGAAAAGAAGAAAAAACTATTGACTAAAGTGTAGCTCCGAACTGCACACAGCCAAAAAAAAGAGGCGGACCATTTCTACTGCACTCACAATTTAATTACAATGTCCTTAATTTTGTTATATTTATATGTATATACAAGATATATAAAAAAACATTGGGCCAACAAGATAGAAGGCCCTAATGACTAAGGTGCAGCTCTAAGTATCGATTTCCACACGACCAAAAACAAAAAAAAAGAAAAAGAAAAAAACAAACAAAAACAAAAACAAAAACAAAGACAAAAACAAAGACAAAAAGAAAGAAAAAGAAAAAAAAGAGGCGGGCCATTTCAATAATTATCCATCGTAATATTTAACAAATTTGTGGATCCATATCTACGCTACGTCTACATGCTATCACGGATAAAATTTTTGAGAAAATTGTGACGAAAGGATTACATCGATTTGCAGCATACATACTAAGCCATTACATTAATTTATTTTTAATTTTATAGAACATCTTGATGCATTGGGTCAATTCAAGACTACTTGTGATAAAAATTAAAAATAAAAAGTCGATAATAACCGTTAACAGGATGGATTGAGATCCTCTCCAAATCTCACATCTCGAGTTGACGGATACATCAATCCGGACCATTCATTTTAAATTCTACGGTCTCCATTAACCTCATTCCTGTAGCGTACCTCGCACACAATTTCTCTTTCCAACACTCAAATATCCCTCTCTTGAAGGTCCGTATTGCTCTTTATGTCGGCATGGAAATGTGATATTCGGAAAGGATCTCAATCCCGACATGACTACTAAACAATGGCCCCCACATCCCATAGAAAAACAAATTTGTGGGTCCGGAAACCCACTCCCTCCGCTCCAACCGAGTTATATAATCCGACTTTGGACCAGTTTGAAATCCGCCAAAACCAAAAACGTGATCGGTTCCCCGGTGGAGGCATTTTGTATAAGAAAAAGCATACAACCGTTGTTTCACTTGTTTGTGGTGCGTTTGGACATTCGGAGCTTGTGGACTTCGGGAGAGCGAGGAAGAAGAAGAAGGCCAATTTCCCAAGCAAACACTACAAACAAAGAGAGAAATGGAAGCCAGTGAATACGAAACACGATCAGTGTCTTCGTTTCTAGAGGTGACTGCTTTCTCAGTTTTCTTGCAGTAGCTGATTGAATTTTCATGAAAATATCCTCCTAGTTTTGTGTGTGTTTGTTTGGCAGCGATTTTTGCTTCGAACTAATAGAAACAGAGTTATGAACTGCTTAATCGAATCAGTCGAACGAGTAGGGGCAGAGCTTCTCATCGATTCTCGATTTGTTTAAGTGCTTTTTGATTAAGTTGATTAGTAGCAGAGAGAGAGAGAGGGAGAGCGGGCTTAGTGTTCAGTGATGGCATTGTCTTCGACCGATCCACCGATTAAACGAAGAGCGGGATTGCGGATTAAGCAGGCGGGTCGGGCTTCGTACCAGGGCAGCTAGATAAGGTGTTTGTTGGTTTTGTGTGCTTTTTTTGGAAGTGATTATTGATTTTGTTACTACTAGTTGTATTTGAGAGACTTTTGAGGAAGTTGAGAAGATAATGGGGACTACTGCTCTGAGGCAGTTGCTGAAGAGCCTCTGCAGCAATTCGCATTGGAATTATTCAGTGTTTTGGAAGCTTAAGCACCAGAGTGATTTGTAAGCTTCTTTCCTTTTCTTCGCTTTTTGCTATGAATTATACTCTTGTTGAAAATTTTAATCTGTTTATCCGTCCTTAGAATTCAGAAAGTAATAATTAGTTAGTCAAAATGCTTCTGCAATTTTAGTTTTGACGATGATCTTGTCGTTTCCTTAGTGTACTAGATGAATTCTATTTGAAATTTGTGATTCGATACAATACATATGCGTAACCGCATAGAGGTTTCAACGTTTCTATTTCACACAAATAAAAATTCTAGTATGATTCTTATCTTAGGATTGACATCCTAATGGTGTTTCTACGCCGAGCTTATTGTGTGTCTCATGTATATCAAATCTAGTGGCGATCTTCGGTATGATACTGGTTTTCTTGTTGTCTTAAGGATATTGTCTTGGGAGGATGGGTACTGTCATCACCCAAATCCAAGAGAAACTGTGGAACATTCATCGGATGACATCTACTTCAGCGACGCAAATCAGATGCATTTTAAGGATTTTGCAACAAGTATCCATGATGGTGGATCTGCAGGATATCCAATTGCACTGTCTGTGGCTGATATGGAACATCTTCAGTACACATTTGGAAAAGGGTACAATCTTGTTCTTCACTCTTGTCTTGTTGCGTACTTCCTTTCAATCTCCAAAAACGTTTCTATCTAAATGTTTTATAAGAAATATCTTCAAATATAGAAGTAACAAAAAGAAATTTTGGTGGAGGCAATTTCGCTTTCTTTGTTATTTGCCACCATCAGTGAATACACATTACACACGTATGAAAGTGACTTTTTTAAACTGGTACAACCTGAAAAGTTCTGTCTCGTAAGAGATATCAGGAAGGCACACGATGTGTTATTGTTAAGGTTCTCAAATGTCTTAAGGAATGAAAATGGTTCACTGTGGATTTAAATAATTTCTCAGGGTTGTTGGTGAGGTGGCATGTACAGGGAGCTTTACCTGGGTTTTCCTTGACAATCTATGCACCAGAGAGTCTGATTTAGTTCCTCAGGTAAATCTTATTCGAGCAAGCTAATGTAAATTCTTAGCGATCTTCGTATACAGTTGGTAAAATTTCTTCTAGTAGTTAACAGTATAACTAAAAAAAGAATATATCTTCTCAGTGTCCAGATGAATGGCTACTTCAGTTTGCATTGGGTATCAAGGTAATTCTTTTGGCAGCACAGATTAGGCCACAGTTTTAATTTTATAGCTCAAGTTTCACATGTTCGTAATGGATGAAAATCTGATTACATATTTGATTTCTCATGCAGACAATTTTGCTTGTACCTGTACTTCCATATGGAGTTCTGCAACTTGGCTCCTTGGAGATGGTGCGTGCTCATTCTGAACTTATTCTAAACTTCCTGAATTGGTCCACCGTCACATCCCCTTCTGGATAGTAGCTTACAAGTTTATTTGGGAAGTTGTGGCAGTGGAATTTATACAACTTACACTGCATGAATCTCACATAATGTTCTTCCCCCCTTCTGGAGCTTAAGGACTCACATGTGTTTCTCAGTCTCTCTCTCTCTCTCTCTCTCTCTCTCTCTGTATAACACGTGCACTGATTTGTATTCATCTTATTAGTCCCTTTCTTCTCTGATCAAAATTTTCAGGTTGCTGAAGATCCGGCAGTGGTTGCTTTTGTGAAAGATAGATTCAATGCCATTCACAATGTTGAGGGGAAAACTGTACCTTTTAACTTAAACAAAGACATTGAAGCTCGATCATCATGGTCACAATCATTTAGTTTAATGCAGAACACATTTGAGCCGTCAGCTATTACCGTGAATCCACTCAAAGTTGAAAGGTCAGAAGATGTTGATAACATCGGACTGAATGATAACTTATTGTCGACCTTCGGGCAATTTTTGCAATTGCCAACTGCTGAGGATGCACTTCTAGAGACCGGAACAGATGAGCCAGAAGTTCTTAAGAGTACAGGCGAAAGTGTGATTGCTGTTCCGCCAACTTTTCACCGTGGAGAATCAAGTCCACTCAGTCAGTCGATAGATACCAGCTTGCTGGGTATGATGGAAAGTCAGATGTTTGGGCTGTCTAGTCTAGAGGAAGAACTTCTAGCCTATTCTCAATTTGATGGCTATGGTTTGGAAGTGTTTGGAGAATCCCTGAGCGGTTTCAATTCTTACTCTGTTGGAGGTGTAGCAGAACCGTTCGAAGACGTTAATGCTAAAGATACTAGTTACAACACGGTGAATAATTTCTTTAGCTTTCCTGAAAATTGTGAACTACACAAAGCACTTGGAACACCTTTGCAGAGGCAGACAGATGAACATATATGGGACCCATCTATCGGCATTGATGATACATGTAGGAGCTCGAGTTTGCAGAAAGATCTCGCTACCTGTATTGAACCATCATGGTTTTCCAAAGGAAGTGATGCTGAGAACCTCTCGAAAGCTTTTGTAGCCAAAGACGAAGGGTCGTCTAGCAGATCAGAGAATATTGAATCATCTATTACCTCATCAAGTCAATTTCCTGCTTCTTTCAAACAATTGAAATTTGAAGCGAGTGCCCCAGTTGGAAGTGATTCAACAACATGGAACCATACATCTACTTTACCTGTCAGGGGTGAGATTTCAGCTTCTTTCACAGGCACGATAAGCACTTTGGTTGACGAAGAGCAGAAGGAGAAAGGGTACAAGTCTACAAAGTCTAAAAAGGAACAAAAGTTGTCTGGTGGCACTGCAAGAAAGACCAGGCTTGGCAATATCCCGAAGCTAAGACCAAGAGATAGACAACTGATTCAGGATCGTATGAAAGAGCTACGGGACCTTGTCCCAAATGGTGCTAAGGTAACACCCTTTCTCTATTTTTTGAGGGACAAAAACATAATTGCTTGTTTTTCTCTAACTAGACGTGTTTGGTTTCTGGTATTCAGCGCAGCATGGACGGCCTTTTAGACCGAACCGTTAAACACATGCAGTTTTTAAGAAACATGACTGACCAAGCTGAAAAACTGAGGTGCTACACACCACAAGAGGTATGCAAAGCCTTTTTTTCTTGGTAAATTATGCATGAAATAATTAAAATGAAAATATCAATAAACAGCAGCAGGCCAGAACAAGCACCATGATGGTCTCCCAAAGATGAAAAAAACTTCTGTACAACGTCCTGGACTTAGAATTTTTATTTGTCCTCAAAGTCATTTTGTAGTTCCGAATCCAGCTTCTGCGTAATGTTGAAGACCAACGAATTAATCACTAGTTTCTAACTGTATCCTTGATGTTTTTGCAGGCACCTCATTCCAATAACACGAGCGAAGCCACAAGTGGCTGCGAAAGTGGGACAAGCAGGGCTTTCGAAGTTGGAAGTGGACTCCAGATTTGCCCCATTGTGGTAGAAGATCTTGAACACCCAGGACACATGCTTATAGAGGTTTGTTGCACGCCCCCCTATTTGTCAACGCAAAGCTTCATTGCAGAAGCGTTTCGTCTAAATTTTCCATGACTACTGCAGATGGTATGTGATGAACACGGACTTTTCTTAGACATAGCCCAAGCAATCCGACAACAAGAGCTGACTATCTTGAAGGGTGTGATTGAAACTCGCTCAAGCAACATGTGGGCACATTTTGTTGTCGAGGTACAGTTCATCTCTGTGGTAATTTAGTTTTGGAAAACGGCCAAAGTATGATTTCTGTAGCATCATATAGTTCAGGCGAAGTTCCACTTTAGTCCATGTAGTTTCAATTCTTGCAATGTTAGGCATATTGGGGTTTACTAGTTGCAATTTAAGAACAATACTCGATTTACTCTCGTATTTGTCCTTGAATTGTTGCATTTAGTAACTACAGATACCAAATGCGAAAACTGAAACTACATGGACCAACAATTATTCGGAAAATACGAAGACCAAAATCGTAATATAGTCTAAAGAAGCCCATAATTTTTGCTTTTCTAAATGTTATGTTTGTTTGAACGTGCTCAGGCACCAAGGGGTTTTCACAGAATGGATGTGTTTTGGCCACTCCTGCATCTTCTGCAACGCAGGAGAAGTTCAATATCAAGCAGGATCTGATGCGCCTCCATCTATATCCAAGAAAGGGCAAGCCGCCGGGTATTGTGCGTCAAAACTAGGTGACGATGGCGAGACCTAGGAAGCGTCACAATCACATCCTCATCAGAGCAAGACTAAATTATCAGTACAACTACTTTAACTGTTTGTGTACAAACTTAAGATTTCTCTGCAATTTGAAATAAAAATTAGCTTCTAAAAACTGGAAAGAATGGAATACATGCCTAAACGGCTCCGCGAATGTGCGCAATGAAATAATGTACACCATGATACAAGCCTAAGTATGCATCCAAGAACACAGACTAGTTGAAGATGTCATATTCTAACAAGTCATTCCTTTTATATTGTCATCATCGATCGAACCCAAACTCAAATGGGTCTTTCGGCTAGAAGTAGCGTGTGCCACCAGCCACATGCAATATTTTTCGTTAAGCAGCCTTCTATTGAAACTTGAGAAGGAATGTTCCTATCCACGGAATCGCCCAGGCCAAGCTGCATCCAAACAGGAATAGAAAAGTTCGTTAATGATCGTGCCGTTAAAAATGATCGTGCAAGAGTAGACGTTGTGACTAAAAGACTTTGATCATATAACTTAAGAAATCATACTTGGCCATACTTGTTCCACCCCCAACTAAATAACTGGCCGTCTTCTGCAGCCAAAATAACAAATGGAATGTTCAAATTAATAGCTTTGTGAACATCAATAATTAGTGCAAGTATCAACACTTTTCAGCTTCATTAGCTTACCCGTTAGAATGACACTATGTCGAGCGCCGCAGGAGGCTACTTTTGCATGCTTGCTTCCCAAACCCGGAGAATCCAATATCTTAGGTAGAGTCTGAAGCTACAAGAATATGATATAGTTAATTCATAGAACAAGAAGTTGGGCCAAGCTAAGATCACAAAGCTGAAAAAAGAACCAAGATGGATAACTTGTTGAGCGTACCTCACCCTCGTCGGCACCTGTTCCCAGCTGTCCAAACTGATTCCCTCCAAATGCATATACACGCCCGTCAACAGATACACACAGTGTATGCCATAGTCCGGCAGCAATATTTTTCACTTTAGTTTCGGATAATGATTTCACATAACTTGGTCTTAGCTGATCTATTGTATTCCCTTGCCCACACTGGATCAAAATGGGATAAGAAAAGAAATGCAGCAGATAAATAACACGAACGAGAAAAGAAAAATGCGGTTCTAATTGAAAATCTAATCAGTAGTACTCCTAATTATGAAAGTATACAAGGAGAGCAATCAATTCTCTCAGTTCCGGACAACTCAAACAGCATGAGACCTTGACTAGCATAGTAAGCTCACCTGTCCGTAAAGCCCCCAGCCAAAAGTAAGCAGTGCTCCAGCATCTGCAAATTGAAAAATTATTTCTAAATATAAAGGAGTGATACAGTTGAAATGGTCACACAAAAGAGGATGTCTTCGTAAAAATAAGAGGACCATACAACAACCAAGAACAATCCCATCAGATCCAAAGATAATTAAGGATGGGAAACAAATAAGTAGGATTATATTAACGTGTACAACCTATAAACACAATCTATTAACCGGCTCTTCATTCTCTGGTTGCAAGCTCTATACGATCCCTAAAATGCTGACCTGTTATTACTGCACTGTGCCTGCCTCCACAAGCAATCTCCTTCACATAACTTCCAGGAACTTTTGAACCTTGAGATATCACAGAAGACCTATCCTTCCCAGACGCAGATGGCTCAATACAGGGGATGACATGAGGAGAAGAAACCATTTTTACCCTGGTACCCAAACCTAGCTGTCCTTCGCCTCCATAGCCCCAACCCCACACCTGTCCCATATCTGAAACTTCGGTTAAAATTATGATGCATCAGGGTCTTGCGTTACATCAAAAATCTTCCATAGCTTCGTACATCCTACAACCTACAAAACTATATGGTGTGACCACAAAGAAAAGCAACTGTCCTGAAAGTCTTAAATACAACCCCGAAACATTATTACCTGATAATGCTAAAGTATGGCGCCCACCAGCTGCAACAGTGGTGATTCTCACTCCAGGACCCAGAGTTACAAGACAAGGGGATGGATTGAAGAATTCTTCACAACCTGTTGAGCTTTCAGATTCGACTTTAGCTGATGAAATTTTCCTTTGCTTTGCAATTTCCTCTCTGGCCCTTTTGCTGTCAAGATGAGATACTGTCCCACTTGTCAAATTGAAGCCTTGAGGCATTGAGTTTACTGTATAAGACAATAAGGTCTTGATCACATTGATCTAGTACAATCGAAAAGGCTTCCGTGCATGTTTTTCCAGATATACCCAGGTTACAGAAATACCTTTTTCAGCTGGTAATGAACTTTGATTCCCTGTAGTATCCTTTTGGAGACGTTCCACCATACCCAGGTCACCGATAAGATTCCCAGAGGGAACACACTCTTTCCAACCCCAAGTGTATACTTCACCAGTCTCTGTAGAATGTAGATTGACCAATAATCCCAATTAGTTCACATTCTGGTCCTGTAGAAACTAGGGGCCCGTTTGATAACCATTTTGCTTTTAGCTCCATCAGTTTTCATTTTTCTTGTAGAGAGAGGGGGAATGCATGGGAGAAATGAAGGATATAGAGGAGAGGATAAGTAGGGTGGAAAAGACGTAGAAGAAATGTACAAGAAAAGGAAAACAGATGAAAACCAAAAACCCAAACACTATTTTAAGTTGTTTTCACTTTCCAGATTTTGTTCTCATTCATTCTTCTTTATTTCTTCCCCTCCCTCTCACCACCCTTCTTCATCCCTCCTTTTCCCCATATACTATTTCCATATCTCAAGTATAAAAATGAAAACTAAAAACTAACAACGAAATGTTTATCAAACGGGCCGTAGATTATCCATATTTCATCATGTTACCAAACTCAAATAGTAGAATTATCGCGGTATTTCACGCAATTTGACTAAATGCAACTAGTATCAAGAAACACTAATAATCCACACAACAGTCAACTAACCAATTTACACATAAATCCTTTTATTTCAAACACAAATTTAAGTAGTGAACAGTGAATATTCATTCCGTCATCAGAAATAAGAGCGAAAAAACCTACCCGTAACAGCAACGCAATGAGCCCAACCAGCAGAAGCCTTGAGTATCGAAGCCTCAGTTGGGAGAGGATATGCCTCCGGAGTCCCCTTAACAAAGATGAAAAAATTAATCCCAGAAAATTCGAATTCCTAAATAATTATAAGTAATTACAAGACCGCTGCATTACCCCGTGCTTCCCAGAAACGACGTAGCTCTGCCCCTCATCTTCCGTCGACCCCCACGTCATCAGCTTCCCACACTCTAATCAAAACCATCATCCAAACAAATTGAAAAACAGGGTTAACAAATCGAACAAGTAATTAAGCATTGATCACTTGGTTAAAGATTTGAGAATTCGAGGATCAAACCTGAGATGGCCATGGCGAATCCGCAACCGCCGCCGCAGACGTCCTTCCACGAATATCCACCCTCCATCCGATTAGGAAACCGCACCGGCGACAGAGACACTATCGGAGACTTCTCCGGCGATACTCCGGGAAGATATCCCCACATATACACCAGAGCTTCTCTCCGCTCCTCCGTTTTCGTTGACCCTCCTCCTCCTCCTTCATTGCAGTCCATCGTCGATCCAAAACGACCTCGTTGTCTCGTATAACAAATCTGAGAACAAAATCTCTCTCCCTCTCTCTCTTTCTCTCTCTACTTTCTCTCTCTAGCGAAAGTTTCAGCGAGTCCGGAGAAGAAAGCAAAAGGACAGAGAGAGACTCGGAAGAGCGAGGCGTATCATTTGCCGGGATGCAAGTCACGCCACGTCGGATGCCACGTGGAGGGATCTGGGCCGTGAGTATGGATTACTTTTTTGGTAGCCACGAGTTTGCTGGAACTTTCTGGAGGGGGAGTTATGGAGGCGGGGCTGGTTGGCTGCCACGTGTAGGGTGGGGCTGTACTGTTCGAATAATCCGGGATCTTATACGCTGGTGAAGTGGCTGCGTGGAAGGTAAACTGACGTTGGATCCAAACATTATTATAATCGACGGTCAGAAAAGTGCCACAACGGCTTGGATCTAATCATATTATGCGACGACTAATGTAAGTTGTGTTAGTGATAATGGCCACTTCATCGCTGTTTTGTCGTTGAATTTCAAATTTGTCTCTTTCCATCTTCTTGTGAATGCGTTGGCAGATAGGAAAGGCGTATCTATGGCGTTTACTTTGGGATTTACCAAATGTTATTATTGATGACGTTTCGTTTTTGATGAAATTGGTTTTGAGTTTCAAAAGTATTTTAAATACTTTTTAGAAGAAGTATTAGATATATACTTTTTAAGGTGAACATTTAAAAATGTTTTTTCAGGATCTATTTGGATTTTTACTATAGATTGGTTTAAAAAAAATATTTTCATCAAAAACATTTTTAGTCATTTCAAAAATACTTTCAAACGAGCCCTAAGTCTTTAGCTTTGGGAATAACTAGAGTTGTCTTTAACCATGTCACATGCCAAGCTAATGAAGCAGCTCATCGTTTAGCTGGCCTTAGCCTCTTCTCCTCTAGCTCGTGTTTGTGGTTCGAAGATCCCCTAGATTGTCTAGCTGATATTCAGTTTGAGTATTGTAAGCAGCAAGGCTACTTTTTGTTTTGTTGCAGTAGAGATGCGTCCTACTTTGTTCTAGATGTAACTCTTCCCTTCATCAATGATAATCTCATGGCTTTGACTGAAGAAAAAGTGTGTTAGTGAACTATTCAATTCGGTTTATGACTAATCTTATTGACATATCTATTCAATTCTGTTAGTTTTCACTATAGTTTTGTGTTACAAATTCAATTAATTACTATTTTTACTTTGATGGTATTGATTCGTCTAAATAGTCAATATTATTAGTTGAACAACTTTTTAAAAAAAAAATTTATAATGTAGCGGAGCTACTAATGAGGAACCATGATTGGAAAAATGTAGCATGAAGGTGGGACTCCAATTCTTTTCTCGAGTTATTCTAAGCACGAATTCTTTCTGTGTTAACATAGTCCAAAAGATAATGTTATGAAGTAACCCGTATGCCGTTTCTCTCTCGAGCTTGACTTCACCTCTCCTCTGCCGACCTTCTTTGAGTCTCGACTTCGGCCAGCCACCACACCATACCCTCCCCCTCGACCACACCATACAAACCACACACACAGACACATTTGCTACTATCTCTATCTGATTCTCTATCTTGGTCGAGCGACTCTCGAGCTCCAAGTTGATGTATTTGTTTTGAATTACTTTTGAAATCTAGGGTTTTGCTTCGAATTATTTTTTGAATTAAGGTTGGAATTCAAGAATCAAAATCTAGGGTTTGGTTCCGAATTAATTTTGGTTTCTGTTTGTGAAAATTGGGTTTATGCAATTTTTATTGTTTATGGATTTGGATTCTGCTATTGGATTTGGACTTGGTTTTGGTTTTATCAATTTAAATAACATGATTTTCTTGGCATGCGTGTTTGATTTTGCAAGATCTCTTGCAATTTTTATTTGTTCTTGTTTGTTGCTTTGTTCTTATTTCAAAATGATATTGATACTGAATGTGTTCAGATTGTATTGAAAGTCGAAACTGTAGGAAAATGTTCACTTGCATTCCATTTCCTATTTAATTTTATCCATATAATCTGGGATATTATCTGATTCTTTGATTTGGGATTTTGACGTTGGTTTGAATTGATTTAATCAGGGGCATTCATTTACAAGAAAGTAAATAGAAATTGAATTAAAATCCCGGACCGTACCAAAGTTCAATTTTTTTTTTTTCCAAGAATCCTAAAATTGGAAATACCCAAATTTGGGTTCAGTTTTGGTTTTCGGAATCCTGTCTCAAAATAGATTGGTTTGGGATCCGGGTTACCATTTTCAGATTGGGATCCCTATCCGAACCACCCTTACATCTAGCATATGATCATTAATTTTTTTTCTTTATCAACAAAGGAAGATTCGAACTTGGAATACCAATATTTGGGAGCGCTATTTGAGTGGTACCTGTGCATGAGTGCGTATATGATTCACAAAATATTGTGCTGGCTAATTTTACAACCAATTGACAAGATTATATATAATTTCATTTCCTACATATCCAAATCGTTCACATTTGGAATATCTTAACAATTTAGGCATATATATACTTGAGCTTGAGTTGATATTAAACTGTATTAATCTTGAAAAGTACATAAACCCTAATGTGCACATGTTGTGCCAAAGGGCATGACATTTTACATAATTTTGCACGAAGTTTATCAAGAAACTGATTAAATGTGAAACTATATGTCAACAAACTCATTAGAGTGTGATTGATCCGCAGGAAAAAAAAAAAAAATGTTGGGACTGATAATATTGATGAGTTTGCTAGAAACCACTAACTGTGAACCCTCCATCAACGCTAATGACTTGTCCATTGATGAAAGAAGCAGCAGGGAGGCAAAGGAAGGACACCAGAGACGAAATTTCATTAGGCTGTGCAAGACGAGGGATGGGAGTTCTACCTATTAGCCGTCTGAAATCTTCAACATGACCATCCTGATAATGTAAAATCAAGTTTAGAATGTGTCAGATCGAATATCGCTAACGCAGTTTGATTAAATTGTTGCAAATCAAAGTCAATTAATCTCAGACAAAATAATAAGCCGGAGGGGAGTGCTACATACATTTTCGACTTTAGCCCCGGTGTTGACAGCCCATGGTGCCACAGTGTTTGTGCGAATGTTGTCTTTTGCCCATTCACATGCCAAATTTTTTGCAATCTGTATCACTGCTCCTGTAAATTTGAAAAAACAGAATTGTCTTTAGGGCTTTGGAGCTAATAACATTTGCAGTTTTATTTTAACTAAACAATAATAATTAATAAATTACCTTTGGTTGCTGCATAGGCAGATAGTCTGGGTAGAGCTTTCAGACCAGCAATAGAGGCGACAAATACAATACTTGCGTTTTCTGAGGCCTTCAAGAGAGGATATGCAAGTTGACACAGATGGTAGGGAGATTCAACATTGGTGCTCATCATGCTTGAAAAATCTTCCAAAGTGTAATCTGCGGTACTCCTGAGAGTACATGTTGCAGCATTATTTACCTGTGACAAAAAAATCACATAGAAAATTAGATTTTACACTAAGAATGTGAAAGAGAGCAAAATTAATGCTGCAACCTAGGTCTCATGATTATTATTATTATGCAGAGTCACACATAATGTTGAACAATATTGCAATCCAACATTGGAAACTTGATAGAAAATTTATAACTTGTATTATATGGTTTACACTCTTAATTGAACCAGGATCTTTTATGACAAAACCAAACACCTACGGAGCTGTGCATGTGATTAAGTTGGAACATATTAGTGTGATTATAGAAGTCCACTTGCTCGAACCACTCTAAAATTTCAACACATAACACACAAAGGAAAGATAAAAGGAAGGGCAATAAGTAAACTTACAAGGATGTTAAGCTTGCCGTTGAAAATTGAGGAGACGGTTTTGATGAGGTTTTCCCTTTGAGCTTTAGAGGTGAGGTCACAAACTGATCCAGTCACTTTAAATCCCTTATCTTCCCATTCTCGAAGCCTCTCAACAATCTGTGCTTCGTTGCGAGCACAAGTATGTACGGTTGCTCCAAGTCCCGCTAGCTCTTCTACTATCGCATATCTAATGCACAAATTATACAAAAGAACAATGTCAACAAGGGAAATAAATATGAATTTACTAAATAGTTGCAAACAAATCGACGGAGAGAGAGAGAGCTAACCCGATGCCTTTAGTTCCACCGGTGACGAGGGCGGTCATACCCTTTAGAGACCATCTTTGGCTGTTGAAACCTGCCATTGGTATGTTTTGCTTGAAGTGTTGATTGTTTAACAGGCAATAAGAAGGCTGAGTTTAGTTAGTACAGAAGGATGAAGAAGAATGAACTAAAATGTTGATGTGAGGATAATCTATGGAAGCTTTACATATATATAGTATTAATTCTTGCTCACTTAAATTGAAAACAAAGTTCTAATTAATCAAAATGAAGAAAGGATCAAACATCGTACGTGTTACGTAGTAGCCATCCTTTGGCTGAGTCCAACTTCTTAATTAGGGTTTTGTCAATTCAATACGTTGATAGAGTCGATACCATACTCGTCAAAAGTTGGTACGTGTCATTGACTTTCTTTTGGAAAATATTTTGTTTTTTCTTGTGACTTTGATATATTTAATACAACAGATAGGAAAGATGAAAAAAAAAAAACTGGGAAGTTTCTATTATGTCTTCCTTTACTGTAGTTGGCTTAGCCAATAGCTATTTATTTTGAAGAGGTCCGCGCCCGTTCGTTTTAAATTCAACAATTATTTAGATTAAATAAACAAATACGGAAAATGTAATATACAAAATTGACTTTGAAGAGCTAATCTGAAACCCTAAGGCTAAAGTCCATAGACACTACAAAAAAAACTTTTCCCAACGAAATAATTTCGTTGAGCCAAATAAGGTATCATCAAAATCGGAGCTAAAATAACTATTAAATCGTGATAATACATTTTTAACCATTGAAGCATTTAATCTCGCTACCTAATTCCTGAAAATTTACTTTTTGTGATTTTTGCGTATGCAATCTTTGTGGCGGGACATGGAAAAAATGGCAAGGGGTGCTCCCATTGCCTGATGGCCTGCAATTGAAAAAAGGGTTTGTGGGTTACGGAAATATCCTTTTTCCTTTATTCATGAGCCCAACCCTCTTTCATTTAGTACTTTAGGTGCTTTTTGTTGCATATAATGTAAATCCTGTAGTGGATCAAGTAGACTTTTCGAGTAGCGAAGCTCGCTCTTCGTGTCATTGGTATTGGGCAAGTGAACCTGGCTACACAACTGTTACTGTAGCAGAGGATCTAGTTCCACACCAATTTGCTTCATACTATATTCAAACAAGTTTAATGATTAGATGGTTGAAATTATATTCATAGAGTGCTTATCCCACCGAAACAATATATTCCATAAATACTTAGAATTTATTCTATACTTCTATTAAATAAAACATAAGATTTTGTGGTAACCGTGAAGCCAAAATAATTCCAAAAATCCAAGAGACGGCACGTGGATTTTTCCTAAAGAAGACAAAATTGCCCTCATTAAATGAGAAGGTTACTGTTGACTCTAAAAATTACAAAGCCTACGTGGCGCGCAGGCCGAGTAACTAATAAGCTAACTACGTCCTTCGGTTGAATGCGGGGCGTTCCAACTCGTCGGCCGAGCTCGGCCGAGGAGTAAAATTTGTTGATGTTGCGTTGAGCGCGTTGCTGACTTCTTTATCTTGCGACTGCGGCCGAGGAAGGAACAAATCTCGGCCTTTGGATTCTCGAGCCTGAAGACAAGGCTGCTAGTTCTACGAAGTTCAATATCAAATTCGGCTCTCAAGGTACCGAATGTAGTAACCTGGTAACACCTCACTTCGCCAAGAAGGCTAATGAGATGACCTCTGCCAATAAGGATTTGAAAATCCTTCTCGACCGAGACTTGGATAGATATCCAGTCAGCCTCGACGCAGTGCTGTTTATCCAAACTGAAGGTGCTTCGGGAACGGCTGATTCTACGGCAACAGTGCTGTTTATCCAAACTGAAGATGTTCGCCGGTTGCCTTCACAGTGCTGTTTATCCAAACTGAAGATGTGTCGGCGGAAAAAAGAAAATAAAAAAAATCTCAAGATGTTTGAGAGGTTTTGCGCAGGGCAGTTGGGTGTTCAATTGGAGGTCCCTTTTACGTTGCACAACGCCTTGTATTTATATGGTTAATATTTGCTTGACACGGCTAGATAATTATGTAGAGTTCAATTGGGATTCTGCCACCTTCTCCATATAATCTGCGATATCCAAAATCCCAAATGAGCTAATGTAGACCACGTGCATTTGTGGTAATGGCCCCAGGGAACAATTCTGATACTTGATGGTATCTTACCCTGCATATCCTTCCCTCAATGCCACGTGCTCCTTCCTTATCTTTTGCATGGCACCAATTTAAACCAAAGATTTGTTTTGATGATGTTTGAATGCCTCGCAAGCCGTGAATCTCTATGGTCCAACTTCCATGCACCAATGACATTCCAATTTGTATGACTTCATCATTACCCCAAATTACGCATCTTGACTTTTCAAACCCTATTTACCATGTTGCTCCAATCTAATAACAGGAATCCCAAGTCCACTTGAATTGTACTTGTTCGAACATATAATGCCAAAATGATTCAAATTAAAAGATAATTATTATGATAAAAACCATAATATTATCCTTTAATTGTAACAAATATATCTTCATTTTCATCCAACGGTTAAGAGCTATGCTCATTCAACGGTCTAGATTACTCCGGCCTATAGTGTAAAATCGGGTCCAAACAGTTACACAAATATTCTCACGCGCAGCTTAACATTCCTGGAGACTCAAGTAGCTGACTATGGCTACTCCAAGCTCCCCTGCTCGTGGCTTGGAAAAGTCAAAGGCATTAAAAATAGGATTAGTCACCAAATCCAATCTTTAATACATTCCTAAATGAAGATCAACTCAAACAAGTAAATAATCTTCATCACAATCAATCAAGGATGCTTCTATCATCATCGCAAGATATTATTTCCTAATTAATAAATGGAGATAATTTTTTCCTCATCTATCCTATGGATGTCATAGCTTGGCCAATGGGAAGCTACCATGTGTAGGACAAAACCCTACTCCTAGGCCAACCACCTACCCGTAATTACCCCATCTCCACCAACTTCTGGTAAGCTTTTGCTACACACTTAGGCATAGGATCCATTGCCCAAACCCCCCCCCCCCACCTCTTGGGTGCGTGTGGCTTTAGCCTTGAACAAATGTGTTGATTATTTGTAGGTACAAATTCGTCAAGAATCAAGACCGCGGATTCTTGTTACCACAATAACCACTTGTGTAAATATTTTAAATTGATGATTGTGTCTGTTCATTCTATTCTTCTAGGGTCTAAGAGTGTAGTTGTAGAAAATCATATATCAAAATCGGAGTTAAAAAAACGTTAAATTGTGATAATACGATTTCAACCAGTTAAAGGATTTTGTTCCGTTACCTATTCTGGAAGCTTGCATTTGGGTGATTTTTGGCAGATGCAATCTCGAAGTATACTATATACCAATTACATTGACAGATGGATTTTTGAAATTAATTTCACAGATTATGGAAGTCATCGAAAGAATTTAATATGTTAAAAGGTCTCTCACCTTTGCTCAAAGAAATATTACATTTTCCTGAAGAAATATAAACCCTAAACCCTAAGTCACCAAGGAAAATGAGAAATAACCAAAGAAATATTTTATGAATTGGGATTTGTCCGTATATCTGTTCGTCGAGCCAAGTTATCTTCGTTGACGAACTGGTTTTCCATCGGGTAGAAGGGGCATAATAAGCGCCTTTTTTTTTTTTTTTTCTCCTTGGCGCAAAACTTTGTCTGACGAGGTTACTTTACCTGTTGAAATTGTTACGTCGCCTAAAGTCGCTAAAAAAAACCTAAACACTAACCCTTTTTGCTCGACCAAATTATTTTTTTTGTTGGATCAAGTTTATGATCAGTCCGACAAAATTTTGTTTGGTGGGCAAATAGTAATTTATGATAGTGAGAGCTCACCACGTTGATCATCTGGTGGTCTGCTTAAGAGGGCGTAAGTTGTAACTACAATTAATGTCTAATAATAATTCAGGTAACAAAAATGTGGTAGGGACTAGTTTCTTTTCTTTTAGGCACTAAAAATCTGTTCACTTGTCCGGACCTAGAGGAAGAAACTGAATAATAACGTTACCAATTTGACCAAGAGGAAGAAACTGAATAATAATTTCACCCAAAAAAAAAAAAGAATAATTATGATAATTAACTTTGACTTAGAAAAAAGGTCTAATTCATTCATATTCCATACAATTATTCAATTTACTAGTTTTCCTTCCTACAATAAGTTCTATATATATGTACATTATGTAACAAGTTACATGTAACGTGATTAAAGAGTCAAATACATAGATAAGTATATACATTTGTTGTAGGTTAAACAATTCATGTCTTATTAGTTATCACTGAGGAAAAAGCACGACGGTTGATGATGATGAGATGGAAACTAAGTATTCAGATACGTCTATTGACGCTGCCGTCCATGGTAGGTTAATATTGAGACGAACTCTATGGAAATTGAGCTGTGCGCTATAGTAATCGAGCTGCACATGCAGTTTCTCTTTCGGTCAACTCTAAGGTTTGCAATATCTCAACCTCATGGGCATCCCAACTCCTCCCTCTCTTGGTAATGATCTAGTCACGTGATGGTTTGTTTCATGGTAGGTACCGACTCCTGTCCTATTTATCTTTATTCTTGTTTAGCCCTTTTGGTTTGGTTTTTTGCCTTTGGGGATTTCAATAAAATACCGATAAAAGAAAAATATTATGAACGACATCGTTGATAAAAAAAAAGTTATATCAATCATACATATGGGGTCATTTAAACGGACTGTACTCATATTGGGTCCCAGTTTTATAGTAAAGTGTGAGTAATGTAACTCGTAAATGTGATACAAATATTTTTTTAATTGTAATTTCATTGTGTACTTACAATGTAATACCAGCTGCTTAAAAGTTTGGATATAATACTTAGGCTTTAGCTGACATCCAAATCCAAAGAAGTAAAATTATGTTTATCCTTACATTTTACAAAGTAAACGCCCAAATTATTACAGAGACTTTTAACAATAGAAGTATTGGATTGACTATTTCCCCGGGGCTTATTACTAACATAGAGATGTCGACATATCCACAAATTGGAAGAACTGATATTATCCATAGGAAATAATTGAAGTATTGTTGGGATTGTTAGATGATATATGTGATCAGATAGATAGGATGCTGATTTTGCAGCCTATACATTGATGAGTTGAGTTCACTAGAAACCGCTAACGGTAAATCCTCCGTCAACGCTAATAACTTGTCCATTGATGTAAGACGCAGCAGGAAGGCAGAGGAAAGTGACCAGAGATGAGATTTCATTAGGCTGTGCAAGGCGACGGATGGGAGTTCGACCTATTAGGCGTCTGAAATCATCAGAATGACCGTCCTGACAAAACAAATTAAATCAAGTTCAATTGTTAGATGAGATACGCCTAAAACATATTAATTAAATTGGTAAGACACAAAGGACTCAACAATATTTAGGTATAGAGCGGATGGATGCTTACAGATTCAACTTTAACTCCGGTGTTGACAGCCCATGGCGCCACAGCATTAGTACGAATGCTGTCTTTTGCCCATTCACATGCCAAGTTCTTAGAAATTTGGATCACTGCACCTGTAAGATAGCAATGGTAGTAATCTTTAGAGGTCTTGCAATTAATCTTACACATGTTATGCATCTGAGGCAGTTAGTTCCGGAGAAATTGAGAATTAACATAGGGACGGTTTTGGAAGATTAATTAATCACTCACTTTTTGTTGCTGCATAGGCAGAGAGTTTCGGTAGAGCTACCACACCGGCAATGGAGGCAACAAAGACAATACTTGCATTTCCTGAGGCCTTCAAGAGGGGGTGTGCAAGTTGAGAAAGATGGTAGGGAGATTCAACATTGGTTTCCATCATAGTTGAGAAATCTTCCAAAGTGTAATCTGTGGTTCCTCTAAGTGTGCATGTTGCGGCACTATTTACCTACATATTGCACCATATGTAGCAAACTCAAAACCCATCTTTATGTTAATCAATAAGCTGCGAATTAAGGTTATTTGATAAATGAACTTACAAGGATGTTAAGTTTTCCATCAAAAATAGAGGAAACAGTTTTGATGAGGTTCTCTCTTTGTGCTTTAGAGGTGAGATCACAAACTGAGCCGGTCACGTTGAATCCCTTATTTTCCCATTCTTTAAGCCTCTCAAGAATCTGTGTTTTGTTACGAGCACAGGTATGCACGGTTGCTCCAAGTCCGGCCAGTTCTTCCACTATGGCATATCTGATAATTTTGCATTTGCAACAAAATTTTCACACGAAATAAATTAACATGATGTTTCAAATACAGAAACTATATTGAAGATAAGAGATATGTGGCAAAGTTAATTACCCTATGCCTTTGGTTCCACCGGTGACGAGGGCAGTCATACCCTGTAGTGACCATCTTTGGCTGTCGAAACCTGCCATGTATGTTTACTTGATCTGAAACTAAAGATGTTTGTTCACTTCAAGTGGTTCTTTAGTTAGCGGGCAAGAAGAAGGCTCTGTATATATATTACTGAAAGCTCAAGACGAACGAATTAACTAAAATGTGTTGTGCTGATAATCTGTGTAACCAGTCTGTATGTATAGTAGTCTTGCTGGAAACCCACTTGAAACGAAAATATTAAATTAAGATCACAAAGTCTCCAACCGCGTCTTATATGTGGAACTCCAATTGGGCGGAGTCAAACTTCCTGACAATTAGGCATTGTCAACTTCTTGCATTGATGAGTGCATGGATGCATGATGCATGTATAGAACCATATGCTAGTCTGCAATTTGTATTAATTATTATTATTATTTATTTATTTTTTTTTTTTTTGAGTTGGTTCCCAGCAATTTGTATTATTAATTATTTTTTTACATGAGCAATTTGTATACGATTCTTGACTTTTCCATCTACGAGTTGTAAACACGGATATCTATGGTACGCACTAATTGACTTTGTAAAGCGTGCCCAATTTCAAATGCAAGAAGGAAAGAAAAAAGGAAAACTAATGAAAAGAATTTGAAAACTTTGAGTTTTAATGATAAGGACAAAATAAAGGGTAAAATGAATAATACCAGGATTGACTTTTTAGTGTAAAAATATGATTTTTCGTTAAAGTGAACATTACCGTGAACTTTTCGTTAAAACTTTCAAATGTAAGTCCACGGTTCACCATAAAGGGGTTTACTATTGGTCATACATTTGAGCTCATATCAAAAGTCCACGGTTCACCATTATCAAATATGCGTATGAACGTTTGCGTGAAAGCAAATTCAGTTGCGTTTACCAAATTAAAAATTAAAAAAAAACCAATTCAGTTGCTCGTTGAGTAGTTTGCTTCTCAGTGATTATAGGGTTTCACTCGTTGGACTTCGAAGAGATTTAATGAATCCTTTAATTTCTTGTTTGTAAGGCGTATACTGATGGCTTATGCCAACAGAATGATATGTATTTAGAATAGATTATTTGTATATGCGATACTTGCACCACAAGTAAATAGAACTCCTATATCAAATGATTGTGCGGAAGCATAGCTCAAGTTTGGTTATTTTTAATGGTTTGCCTATTAAGGACTGCAACTGTTTATCGAATTTATGTTAAGATGGAGTTGGATATAAACTTGTTATTTTCAAACACACCAATTCAGTTCATTATTCATAAGAGAAGAGTAAAGACAATAAGTAACATGAGCAATAAGTACAAAGTTGAAATTGATTTTAATAACATTGAATACAAAAAATAAGTAAAGTAGATACACAAATGAACTTAAAACAATCGATAAAGCTCTTATCAGATTGATTTCAAGGCCGTCGAATTAGGTTAAAGATTATTCTTTGTAAAGGGTTCAACCAAAGAGATCTCGTCCTTTCTTGGCACCCCACTAGAACAAAACAGTTCATCTACCACATCAATTCTATCACGGGCATATATAGCTCATGGTAAAAACTATTCAATTACCACGGCCAAGTTTAACTCATGGTAGATAACATTAATCCACCATGGTCAAATTTTGACCCGTTGTTAAAAGCGAATAATCTGCAATGGACATTTATATCCGTGATGAAATATCATAATTACCACGAGATATGCTCGTAGTGGTTACTTCAAACTACCACATCGTCTTTTGTGAATTCATCACGCCTTTGGCCGTGGTGGATGTTTTTATCTTCATAATTGAAAACATTTGGAGGAGGTGGGAGATAAAAAATTTGGAGGGCTGCCAAAGTTTTGACATGGCGCCCAAAATCTCTAACTCCCTATTTTCAAAGAGAGCATGTTAGCTCTCCCTCCTCATTTTCATTTCTCTCTTGCAGCTTCTCTGCCTTAACTCTTCGGAAATTTCCAAACACCTCTACTTTTGCATACTCGAGCTCAATTCCACCTTTTCAGAATCAGAAACAAAACCATCTCTAATTGCAAACCCGGCGAGTTCCTTGCGAACTCGTCCTCCCTTCCGTCGACTGCGCACCCAAGTCCGCGGCTTCTTTGTAAGGTAAAAATCCCAAGCTTGTTCCAATATGCTCATGTATGTGTTATGTATATGAAAATCCATATGAGAATTCTCTAAAATTCGATCATGGCGGTGGCTCCTGCGGTTTCTATTTAGATGATAGGTATGGGGGATACAACCGAAGCCGATCCGATTTAGGTTCGAATCCATATAGGAAGCAGTATGATGCTAGTCCCGATGCGGGTATGGCGATGGTGTTTTTGCTCATAAAGGTGATAAGGTAGAGCCGTATGGGTCGTGATTTTGAGCACCCAAAATGGAATGTAGACATTCTGCATTATTTAGAAGTCCTATCCGTTGTAGCATAGAAGGTTAGTGTAAACTGGACTAACTTAGTGAAGCGTTTGGTGCAGTATTGGACTAAGAAGCTGGATAATAACAAATTCTAATATTATATTATTTAATATATAAATTATTAATATTTTATTATGATCTTATCTTTTTCTTCATCTTTTCCTACCATTTCCGTCCCACTCTTTTCCTCTTCTCTCATCGTCCCACCCTCTCCCTCTTTTTTTCCTCTTAAACCTCTCAATTCATGTCTCTTTCTCATTCTTGGTTAAACTCTTTATTGATTCCAGTGTCTATTTCTCTATCCTCTCTCCCTCTCTAGCTATGTGTTGTTCGAATGGAACCTCACGGCTCCAATTTTCCCGACGAGTTGCAAGTTTCCCGATGTGTTTTCCGGCCAACCCTCGTTAAATTGGATGAAGTTAGCACCGCCAAAAAATTCATCACCATCCCTAGACCGAGATCTTAGCTTTGAATGCTCGAATCTGTCATGGATTTGAAGAAGCCCAAACAGGCCGAGACTTCCAGGCCATTTTCCGGCCACATTTGACCACATTTTGGCCTCTATTCTGGTAAAAGCGTAATCTTGTCACTCCCAGCTTCAATTTGGTATATTTTTATATGAAAGTTGGTTGTGAAATGGATCTGAAAGCGAGTCGGAAAGTTAATGATTGATCTAGGTGACCGGAGATGACGAGGAGTCTATCAGGAGTGGTCGTTGAGCATGACGAGGACGAGAAAGAGAGGATAGTCTTAGCTAGTCCCATGGTTATTGAGGGGTCTCGCTAAGACCTCTTAGTGAAGGGTTTTGTCCATGCTAGTCCCCTTTAGTCTCATTAATGTTAGTCCCAGCATGGAACAAACACAGTATTGGACTAATAGCTAGTCCAGTCCAGTCCAGTCCAACTTAGTGAGGGCAAACAAACGCCCCCTTAGTGTTTAGGAGGGATAGGCAATTTCATTACAATAGGTTCGGTTTGGTTAATAATTGTCCAATAACGGGCAAGTCCTCCCATATTTGTCTGCAAATCATCACTCTATCATGACTAGCGAGTCATGTACGATGATTTTTAATGAATTACTCTGACTTGCTTTCTTCGATTCTACTTCTGAGAAAAGCAGGTACTGCAGTGCGCCTTTCTGATATCTGCTTTCACCACCATCAAGGTTTAATCATCAAGTGAAGCATAAGAGCTTGGTTTTCAACTTTCAAACTTGCACACCAGGTGCTTGTTTTTTGTTCTCAAAGAAAACTAATTTATAACCGTGCATTGGTTTTCAATTTTCACTGCTTTCTTCGATTCTCCATTTTCTATTTATTCATTATCCCCAATTTTTCCCCTCGACACCGCTACAAGATGTGATGTAAGTTCATTTTACTTTAGCATCAAGTTTGATAAGGAACTTTTAATTTATGTATTGAGGTAAAAGTAATTTGTATGTTTATTTTTCTTATCATGTAGTCAAATAGTTACACTGCCAACACCCTTTTGGATATAGTGACTGCTGCAACTGTATAGGTTGGAAACTTGGGAATTTTGCCTTTCCCCTTGTCCTAAAAGAATAATGGTCCCCCTTATTTATTGACAACATGTGATTAATTATGGCCTAGGTGATGTTTTTCTTGTTTCTGCTCATGTTATTTGACATGTTGTCATGTAGTAAGTATAAACATTGATACTTGTTTTGAGATGTATGTGATGCTTTGGTTCTATGTGAAAATTATTGAAGGTGGGCTGGATTAATCATTTCGTGTTTCAGTTATATATGTGTTCATTTTGAGTAGGATGGGATGTATATGATGCTTTGCTTCAATGCATAATCTCTAATGAACTCTTTATCATTCATTTTGCGAACTTATTGAAATTTGTTATCAATGTTTGTTTGGCCCTTTGTCTTATTTCGTTACTGCTGTTTTTAGGTCCCCGATGAGGCAGTTACAAAATACATTGCCTGTGGGTCAGATTTGGGCTTTATAGATCTTAGGAAGGCAATATAGATCTCCAAAGAACTAAGAATGGTGTAAAACAGGTTCCCAATTCCAGTTACCAGGTTTCCAAATCATCCCCCCAGGTATGAAACTGATTATGTTTAACTTGTCTCAATGTCTTCAACTGGAGAAATAGAATCAACAAATCCTGAGGCAAAAGTTCATCACATGATGCATGGCCAACTTCGTTACTAGCCTTCAACTGTTGCAGCTGCTCTTGTCATCCTGGCTTCTTTAGAAGGCAATCGTGATGTGTCTCGCCAACGAGTAATAGAGGTAATTGCCAGAATTTTTCTTTCAAACTACATTAGACTATAATGTAGAGCGATAGGGTTCTGTTATTGTGAAGAACACATCCAATTCTCAATTACTCATTGATGCGATCTCATGGTTTTGCAGACTCATGTGAGAACAGAAGGTGATGATCTACACGAATGCATAGAGGTATGGATGAATTCTGATATCATGAATTTTGATCGTATTTTCAACTTGCAAGAACAACAAATGCATCTTTTCATTAAGGCAATAAAGAGCATTTACATTCCTGGATTCAGGTGAATGTAACAAAATATAACTGATTCAAATCTCGTTTATATACTTTCATTGTTGTCGTTTGAAAGATAACATAGTTTATATGCGTGCTAATTACTGAGATATTCTTAATTTAACAAGATAGTTCTCAATGAATGCTTTTTTTGGCTTGCAGGTTTTTGCCTACCAAGAGTAACAATGAAAGGTGGAGATTAGATAAGGAAAGTAGTGAATCCATACAGACATTGATTGCAAAAAAGGGCAAAAGGAAGGGAGATTCGAGAAATCTCCTTAGTCTGTTAATGACGCTGTTTAAGAAAAGAAGTATTCCATGTTTTCAGAGACAATTAGCTCCCAGTTGCAAAGAATTTGAATGACTCAAGATTGTAAGTTCATTAAAATCTTTAATTTAGCCAGCTTAACGAAAATCTAATCCAATCAATTTGAATCAAGTTATCAATGCTAGCAAGAAGTTGATGTTTCGTGCATTGGATAAAAGTAGACGTTGTATATTTACACAATTAAGCTGCTAGATCCTCACATTTTGTTTATTTTCTCACTTTTTAAACAGGTGACTATGATTGTTAATGAAATGCTCAGGCTTTACCCTTTAACCGATATGCTTGCGAGGCATGCAACAAAGAAGGTTAAGCTCGAGAGCTTGGAAAGTCTTGCTGGTGCACAAATTTATTTGGCGTTGGTCGCTCTCCATCACGACATAGAGATTAGGGGCAGTAGTACGCTCTCAAGGTCCTTTGTTTGGAGGGGTTGAAAGAAATGTGAAGTCTTCAAGTGATAATGTCCTTATTTGTTGGAGGTCTCTGGATAGTTTGGTATTTCTTTGTATATCTCATCGTTTTGTTGTTAGCTTTAGTTTAGTGTACAACTATAAAGTTTGAATCTATGATTTTTTTTATTTAATTTTTATATTGTAGTAAATGTGTAATTTTGTTTATAAATATTATATAATACATTTATTAAACAATATATATATATATATATTGGAATTTTTTTTTATAACAGGCATTAGCCGTGACCAATTTGTAATCCACAACGGTTATAGTGCATGTGGTGTTAGATTTTAATCTACAACGGGCACAATTCGTGGTTATATTACAATTGACAACGAGCATAGCCCGTAGTAGAATTTGTGATCTGTGACTTTCTATTACATCTAGATTACTAACGGGCACAGTGTCCGTGGTGGATTGCAATCTACCACGGGCATCGATCGTGATGGATGAGCTTTTTTCTACTAGTGCCCTCTTCCTTACCAGGCTTTGCAAGGAATTTGTTACATGTATTGCAGCACCGCTATCAATCCACCCTGAGTCTCGAGCATATTCAACATTATTTGTTTCAAAAACTAAGACTTCACCTTTAAAAATCATTACATTACCTTTTCCTTTACCACTGTCAATCCACTTCTTGTACTTTTGGCAGTGTCTCTTCATGTGTCCAGGCTTCTTGCAGAAGAAACACTTTCCTTTGAAAGCTTCGAACCCCTTGTTTTCACCTAGCTTAGAGTGATACGATGCCGCTTTGTTATTGTCTTGTTTTGCAGCAGTACCATTGGACTAAGTCACCATGTTCACCTTTTTCTCAAATATTTCCTTCCTAATGCTGCTCCTTATGCACACAGATGGCAATCAATTCATTCAAGCTCCACTTTTCCTTAAGTGCATTGTATGTATTCTAGAGTCTTGAGTACTCATTTGGCAGTGAATTGAGGGCAATATGAACCTGGAAGGGATCACTCATAGGAACATCCAGTGCATTCAACTTAGCACCGATATCCAGCAATTCTAGTATGTTTTCTCTCATACATCCCATATCATTGTATTCCTTTGACATGAGTTCATTCATGAGATTCCCAGTTTCTACCTTGTTTGATTCTTTGAACTTCTCCTGGATGCCTAGTAGTCTTTGGCATTCTCAGATTCTGGAATCCTTCATCTCACTATTTAAGACATTGATTTCTTGATCGCTAAAAGAGCAATACAATTAGCCTTTTGCCACTTCTCTAACTTAGCCTTGACCTCAGCAGCTGCTTCAGCAGTAGCCATTGGACGAGAGTCAACCCTAATTGCCATGTCGAAGTCCATCAAACCCGGACAAATTCAAGGTCTTGTTTCCACATTTTGTAGTACCACTTAAGATTTGAACAGTGCTCACAGCATTCATCAATGAATAATATAACATGCACATTTTAAGTAAAACAATCCCAACAAACTTCATAAAACAAGATTAATCCAACACTTGTGAGTAAGATGGATTAGTATGCTTTTGACACTGATCTATGCACTATACCAGTTACTTTCATGGTGATTTCCAGCACTTGTGGCAAGGTGGAAACCCTCACAGCCATGTCATACCATTCAAAATGTAATCAGGAAACATGATCAACACTTGTGAGCAAGATAAACAACGTCCATGTCATGATTTTATTTCATGATAAATAGTTTTAGCCTGAATATATGACCTAACTGAACAACACAAATACTGATCATGCAATACCTATAAGATACCAAAGTACCAACAATCATGTAGAACATTTAATACTATCATGATTTACCATGATACATGATTACAGTGTGATAAAGATTTTGACAGTAATAAATATGATTGCAGTTTTGTCAAAACAGAGACAATTTCATGCATAAAATCACGACAACAAGCATGACTATTTAGTAGTGCATGTACTTCATTCAAATCCATATTCATATGTTGAACTTTATAAGTTTTAACTAAAAGGCTCTAACACCAACTGTTAGTCTTATTTGCTTATATAGTTAGAACACATAACATGAAATAATAAAACAAGATATGAACCCTTACCTAAAGATGCTCCAGCAGCCATGGTGATGATGATCCGAGAGAGATAAACAACCAAGAGGAAAAACACCAAGCATTCTATAAACTCCTAGCTAGCTTGATGATGGTGCTCTATTGTTGTCGTATCTAGGGTTTATAGGGACCGTTATTTATATAAGCCAAAAGGTTAGTGTTTCCATCAGTAAAGGAAGCCCAAAAACCCTCTTACTTGCTTCCAAGTAAATTATCATAATCATATGTAATTAAGGACTCCATCAATCTAATTAGAATATAAGACTAACAGTTGATATCAGAGCCTTCACTCTCGTTCACTGACATGAAAAATAAGGCAAGCTAATGTCATGGTGGTGTCAAAATCGCTCCAGTACTGATAAAGTTAACCACTGACTAGGCAGCTAAACTCAACCACTGAATGAGGATCCTCTCCCGATCCTCTTTGTGAGGATCCTGGAGATCCTCAAATCGTGTTCGTTCATCGTACATTGTGCGGTTAGAAATCATTTTAAATACGTTTATTTTAAATTAAATATAAATAGTATCTGATAAAAATTGACCGCACGATATACGATGAACGGACACAGTTTGAGGATCCAAAGAGGATCCTCCTGGCCATTTTCATATCAGTGGAACTCTTTTTTGTCTTGTGGGCAATATTCATGCGATTGCCTTCTGCTCAACCGCTGCACATGTTCTAATCAAATAATTTACAAGTTAGTCTACAGTATACTCTTAAAAAAAACTTTGATATGAGTTTAATACTTTGAACTAGTATTATAAATAGTTCATTTTACTAAAATAGGTCTAATCTTTTGAGTTTAGAATTATTTTATTATCGATAATATCTCTTTAATAATTGTTTGGATCCAAATTTACGCTATCGGCCCATACAATTGTTTGGACTTGATTTTACACCATCGGCCCAAGCGATCAAGGCCGTTGAGTAAGGATGATTCTTAATCGTCGGATAAGAAAGTTACAATAATTTTGTTGTTATTAGAGGATAATATTATGATTTTTAATCATGATAATTATCTTTTAATAATGAATTATCTTGACACTTTTCTTGTACGAGATAAATGTGACTCAAACTATATCGAAGCAAGCAAAATAGTTCAATTTAGTTTGGGATTCTTAGCATTCAACGCGGGATTGAGCATCATGCATTATAAAAAGAGGCTTAGCATGTGGTGGCATCAGTTGGTAACCAAGGTGGAGTCCAACTTGAATGATTAATTACGTGAAGTAAGCCATTGTGATGCATGCATGGGATAATCATTAGCAAACTCAAGGCTGCCAAATGAAGTGAATATTCTATGGATAAAGCTTGATATTCCAAGGTTTGAATGACAATGCTTATCTTTAGCAAAGAAGGAATTGGCATACCAAGCTTTGTTACGTGGTTTTGGCTAAAATGCGTGGTTAGCACCAAAGACGTTGAGTGCCACGACTTTCATTGGATAATCATCATCTCCGCGGAAATTAATATTTGTGGAGATTGATGGTCACATATGGATTTTGCGCTAAGTTAGCTCTATAAATACCAAGCGGTAGACAATTAAAAAGGGACCTCCAATTCGACACTCAACTGCCCTGCACAAAACCTCTCAAACATCTTGAGATTTTTTATTTTCTGTTTTCCGCCGACACATCTTCAGTTTGGATAAACACCACTGTGAAGGCAACCGGCGAACATCTTCAGTTTGGATAAACAGCACTGTTGCCGTAGAATCAGCCGTTCCCGAAGCACCTTCAGTTTGGATAAACAGCACTGCGTCGAGGCCGACTGGTTATCTATCCAAGTCTCGGTCGAGAAGGATTTTCAAATCCTTATTGGCAGAGGTCATCTCATTAGCCTTCTCGGCGAAGTGAGGTGTTACCAAGTTACTACATTCGGCACCTTGAGAGCCGAATTTGATATTGAACTTCATAGAACTAGCAGCCTTGTCTTCAGGCTTGAGAATCCAAAGGCCGAGATTTGTTCCTTCCTCGGCCGCAATCGCAAGATAGAGAAGTCACCGACGCGCTCAACGCAACATCAACAAATTTTACTCCTCGGCCGAGCTCGGCCGACGAGTTGGCATGCCCTGCATTCAACCGAAGGACGTAGTTAGCTTATTAGTTACTCGGCCTGCGCGCCACGTAGGCTTTGTAATTTTTAAAGTCAACAATAATAAAATTTACTACAAATAAGAGCAGAAATAGCTAATTTTAATTACCTGATGCCTTTGGTTCCGCTGGAAACGAGGGCAGTCATGCCCTTTAGAAAGCATCTTTGACTGCCGAAACCTGCCATGTATTTTTGCTTTATCCGTATGTAAAGATGTTTGTGGTAATTGGTTATATATCTAAAGATTTAATGAAATTGCTAGATGTGGATATGCTGATGGTAATCTGTGAAAGCTACAGCTGTGGATATATATCGCATTCTCACTGCAAACCAAAATATTAAAACTAATAAGAAGAAAGGTGCAAGCGGCGTTGTGGCACTCCATTGGCTGAGTCAAAGTTTTTCTTGGGATTTTATCAAGTCAATGCATATATATTGAACGTCAAATATTTGTTCTTGATTTTGATATATTCAACGCGTACGGACGACCTTGATATATTCTAATAAGATTGTCTTAAGATTACAAAGTATGAGCCATTGAACCGTAATTACTGTTGTTACCAAATTAACAAAGGTCGTATTTCTTAATTAGATTCTGTAATAGGTACAGTACTGTAGTTCTTGTTTCTTGACCTTTGATTAATAGAAAAATTATGGAATACGGAAATTGACTTTGTGAAGCATGGCCCATCCGTATGTGAACTGACATATACGTACGTAACATATATAGGCAGCTTCAATTTTAAATATATTAATTGTAGTAGATATTAATTGACAATGACACAACCGCAATACTTAGTAAGTGATTGACTTATTGTGTGGGCTTAATT